GCTTAATAATATCCTGGGTTTATTATAAATTACTTGTGTGTGCAAAAGAAATTAGATTTTAATAAACATTTTACATAAAATGAGTATACACTGTGTCACAACTGATATCGTGCACCAGAAGCCATTTTCTGATTTTGACTCAAAAATGAGTTAAATAAACGCGACACTAATAATATCTTATGTGATGGGCTTAATAACATTTTGGATTTATTATAAATTACTTGTGTGTGCAAAAGAAGTTAGATTTTAATAAATATTTTACATAAAATGAATATACAGTGTGTCACAACTGATATCATGTATCATATGTCGTTTTCTGATGTTGGTTTAAAAATGTGTCATATAAACTGTATACTAATTGAACTATATAATAATATACATCTAAATATTCCACATAATGTATAAATTGCTCATGTATTAACGAGAAATCGAATTTTGTCAAAAACATGCAAAATGATAATGTTTGATGACATGTATGAAATATGTTTGCAGCCAAAATCCATATCCGAAGAGTTCAACACACCTCTACTGTTACAAATCTTAAAAAGGCAATTCTCATAAATTTGTTAGTATCGAACAATGTATCAGTAAAACGCTGGTCCCTAACATAACTTTTTATAAAAATTGAATTTAAACAAAAATACAAAACTTGCAAATTCAGAATACTTATCCCGAACTATAACGATACTTTCGGCACATCGCAACTTACAATGAAAACGAAGGAAAAAAGTATTAAAAAGTAAAAAGACTCTGTTCGGGTGGAAGATGTTCCACATTAAATCACGACGTTTAATCTCGTTTTCGGCTGACAGAATGGAGAACCCAGTTTACAACTGGATTACAAAACGAGGAAAGGGCGAACGAGAAGAGCAAGAACACGAGATTCTGACTAAAATTTCCGTGAGACGTTGAAAGATTAACGTCGCTGATTAGCTTAGATCTTTCATTCGGATGGGCAGCGATTCGTTAATCTTATAATTACTGTCCTATCCAGATCCCTGGGACCTGTTGCACCGGTGTACGCGTATGTAACCAAGTTCATTAGTCCTCGCGTTAGGATCAAGTTAGCTTGGTGTTAATCACCCGCTTACTTCATTTTACGACGAACAGACAGATGTCGGCTCGAGATATTCTCCTCCTTTGTTGTTTGGTTCTCTATATTTCTGATTGCTATAGAACCGTCGTTAAGTGAAATAGCGTTTATTACTCGTGTAAAATTAATCTGATATCTTTTCTTAACTTCTTGACAGAATTTAGAATGATATGGATGGTGTTGAGAATATTGGAGGAAAAATTGGAAGTTTACAAATTTGGACATATGAATTCGAATTTCATTTTAATTTAGAAATTTTTATTTTCAAATTTCTAAATTTGTATTTCGGAAATAATTTCTAAACCTTTTAATTGCTTGATTTTCAAACTTGAAATTGTCTAAATTTTTTAATTTTTAAAATTATCGAAATTATCAAAATTATCAAAATTATCAAAATTATCAAAATTATCAAAATTATCAAAATCATCAAAATCATCAAAATTATCAAAATTATCAAAATTATCAAAATTATCAAAATCATAAAAATTATCAAAATCATAAAAATTATCAAAATTATCAAAATTATAAAAATGATCAACATTATCAAAGTTATCAAATATCCAAATCCTCAAACTTCAAAACCGGTAATCCTCAAATTTATAAATTTCTACAATAACTAAAACTACCGAAATCACCAAATTTTCAAATTTCTAAATGCTCAAACTTCACAATTCTAAACTACAAAATTTTCAAATACCCAAATCTTCGAACCCTAAAATTTCAAATCCCCAAATTTCCAAATTTTCAAATTTCTGATTTCAAGAACCAAATTTCAAAGCTTGAACCCTCAAATGAAACTAAATTCATGAAGCTCCAAATCCTCAAATTCCAAAACTTCTAAATTTCCTAAAAATCAATTTTTCAAATTTACAAATTTCTAAATTCTCTAATTTTCAAATTATATTCATTATTATGAAAAATATAAAGTGTTCGTATTATACAAGGTTGTATTATACTTTGGAACACCCTGTATATATAGAGAAAGGCTGCAGTATCGTATTTCATACTAAAAGACAGTAATTAGTTGATTGATTATTTGTTTCAATGAGGAGTTAACCAAACTCTATTAGGAATATTGATTAAACGTTTATATACACAGCTATTTTCAACGAAATTTAGCTTTAAGAATTCCTATATATGCACAAATATTATTTTGCAGCATTTTTATTATATAAAACTATGTCAGACTTTCTTCGTATTTTGTATTAAAAAAAAAAGCAGACAAAATTTTATGATTGTTACTCTTTAATTATTAACAACTTTAACTTCTAATTATCTTTCTTGGTTATTAAAAAGGTTTGGTTTTTCTGTTACACTCTGTATGTATGATACTAAAAAGTTAGTTCAGTAAATATGTACATAATTTACGTGTTCCCTTCAAACTTTCTTGACCTCATGTGAATGATATTTAATCACTTTTAAAATTTCAAAAACAGTTTCCCCCTGCACAAAGATACTTTTTCTTACATATTTTATATAAAAACTCATATTTAAGTAAAGATTTCAATCTATTTTAATTTTGAAATCCTTTAATTAAATTTTTTTCTTCAAACTTGTTTTAATAAATCACTGTTGAATATTGAAAGAGTTTCTTGCTATATAAAAATTTGTCCCCTTACAGATTTTTGTACACAATGAAAATTGAGATTTAAATAAAAGTTCAATATTTACTTTAATTTTAATATTCTGTCTTCAAATTCCTACAAATTCATTCAAATAATATTTAACCACATTAACAATTTTTTAAATGTTTCCTACAGTATAAAAATTCCTGTTCTTGCATATTTTATATGCAATAAAAATTAATCTCCTGATTTTATAAATAAATATATTTACAAGCAATAAATTTCCAACTTCCGCCAGATTTATGCACTTTCGCGTGTGATTCAGTAAAAGTATGCGGACACAAAAATGCATTAATTTAACACGTTACTCCCAGGACGATTTTTCGAGGTCCAACCTGGAGTACTGCAGTGATTCTAGACTGCATTTAAAAGCACGTAGCCCAGGTAGATTTACGTCTTCCGTGGCTATGGTTCGTCTCACAGGAATTAAATTTATGGCACTCGGGAGCAACGTGTTAAATGAACATTTTTTATAGGAAATGGGCACATAACCTATAAATCTGATATATGATCCCTTGCTCACTGTTGAAAGTATATCACGCATTTAATTTTAGTTTCTGATATCGGAAGTGAAGCAATGTATAAATATAAATTACGTCAGGTAATATAACAGTTTTGTAGGAAACAGTTTTTACAGGAAGTGGGCACATAACCTATAAATTTGATAGATTATAGGTTGACCATTATTAACAGTATATCATATGTTTAATTTCGGTTTCTGATGGAAAAAATGATTTATAAATATAAGTTCCGTCAGGTATGTTAGGTTAGATATAACAGCTTTATAGGAAAGATTTCTTAGGGGAAACGTTTTTACAGGAAATGGACACATAACCTATAAATTTGATATATAATCTTCTGCTCACTGTAGGAAGCATATCACACATGTAATTTCAGTTTCTGATATCAAAAATGAAGATTTCTATAAATATAAGCTACGTCAAGTTAAATTAGATTAGGTATAGCAGTACATAAGTTTATATTTAAAATTATATTATTCCATGTAATTTAATGTTGGTCAGTTTATATCATTAAATACCACATACCACTGTTCTGTTATAATATTCTTACATATTGCAAATTTGTATTATAAATAATTTCAGTATTTATCTATTTAATTATTACAGAACGAGTGAAATAATTACACCAGAAAATGAAGTCCTAACCTTAAAAAAAGTCGCTCCTAACCACCCTAGTAAATATCAGCAAATGTAATAAAAATACACATAAAATTTCTATAACTTATTTAAAAAATGTAATTTACTTAAAGAAACATCTGTACAATAATGAACCCTCTGTTACATATCTCATTGTTAACGTTAATGTCATTTCACATGTGGGCGCAGCTAAACTTGAAACTTTGCAATTCATAGTGCAACTTGGTGCAAAGGGTTAAATGTTATCTAGTTGGAGCAAGTGAACGGAAACAGGAAGACGTTCTTTCATGCGAATTGTAACGTAACCTCAACCAAATGATGCCGTTTGCAGATGTCATGTAATAAAGTTGTCTTGACATTCGGTATTATTGATCGGCTCCGACAGGCAACCTGCATCGCGTCATAACACCGTACAACTCGTTTAATTTACAATTTCATACAAAAGACCGCACTTTAGACACGCTGAAATTTTCAACTCACAACGAGCTTGCTAGCTACGACGAATACCAATTTACAAACATAAAGGTCACCCTTTACGACAGTTTTTTTCAACTTCTTCCGATATTATTTATTATTCCACGACCACAGAGTACGATAAACCTTTAAACTTTGTTAAAATACACTTTCTCTTTTGCATGGTTGAATGTCTATTAACTGTTGTGTTTGGAAAACCGAAATATGATTTGCAAATGTAAAGGACGCTCATGCAGCTTTTGCAAGTTCTTCCGATATTATTTAGTATTCTGTAACCACTTGAACTTTTGTTAAAACATCTTCTACATGATTTGAAAATTTTTGCATTTGGCAATTTATCACTTTTGATATTTAAAATTCGACATTTAAAATTTTAGAAATTTTTGATGATTCATATGTAGGAAATTGTTTTCGAAAGTCCCTTGACTCTGCGTCTGAGGCTTAATATTAAAATAAACGTGAGATAGGCTTGAAACTTAATATAATATTAAAATAGTAAACCTTTTTTTTAAATACCGACCCATGTATTTCAAATAAGAATGTATTATCCTTCATATAAACATCAGATGTGTCATAAGATTGTTGTGTTATAAACCGAATGGCATATGTTAGGTTGAAAGGTTTGTTAAACATTCAAACTACCTTTTACAGCGGCTGGTTTTGGGCTAAGAGTGGTGGGTGGTAAAACAGGGGCTGATGGACGTACTTTTGCATACGTGATGTGGACTGTACCAGATGGGCCAGCAGCAAAAGCTGGCATACAACGTGGCGACAAGGTAAGATTCATAAATTTTTTCTTTGCCTTAATGCATCCATGTGTCACTTTATTAAAGACATATTTTCCTTCGACACTTTTTTTTCGTGCAAATTTTTGCAACGATGCTCAATTGTTAAATTTATATTGATTAGTTAGTATTGACTGCCATTATAAGTTGTGTGTGATAAAAATTCAATTAAATGAATTATTATTTATAGAAAAAATAAGTGGAATTTTTGAGAGTTCTTAATAGTGAGTCAATAATATATCAAGATATTAAAAGGTAAAACTGTAATTTTACCTTTGTGTTTATAGTTGTGTTATAATTTGTGTTTATAGTTTGTCTGATTAGATATGTTAATTTTTACTGTGGCAGTGAATGTATTAATTTATTAAATTTGTTTAATCTTACTGTTACGGATCGAACTGGCCAATTGAGGCATTTCAGAGCATGGGATGAGAATTTAAAGATAAACATAAGATTTAATGAATTTAGCGGGGTTTTCGGGGACGACTGGTCAAAAGCAGCAGGCATGGCGAGTTTCCATGCCTCGAAGCCCTACGTGCACGGGGAAACCTGTGGCCGTATTCGTCGAACACCATGAGTGTCTCGGCATGAAAAACACCATCGTAGCACCGGGGGTAACCAATCCGCCCGGGAGTGGTGGTGCTCACCAAAACACCGAGGGCCACTCCGCTCGGGAGAGGTGAGAACCCGGGCGGGGGCGAGCTTGCTTGCCCTGCGCTCCGGCTAGCTGTCTGCGGGATCGGTCGCACTCGAAGACGATAGATAATTAATTTTTCTAAGAAATGTACACGTGCGTGGTGCACGTGGCAATGGCACGTGGCAAAAGTGGCACGTGGCACATGCTCTGAAATTCCGAGAAAAATGCCAATTAATAAGTATTTGATCCACCGCGAAATGCCGGCGAACCCAGGTGCG